TGTCCTCTGCCTCTGAGCCCGGTGACAAAGAGCCACAGGAGGAGGGCAGCCCCATTGACAACCCCGCCCCCAGACTGGCATCTATCACACTCCTCTTAATTCGTCCCCCACCCCCCACTCTGCTCTGCACGCAGCAGGGGGTAAACATGCATGTTCTGACTGTCCCCCTGATTCTAACGGTCTTGGGCAAGCACAGCCTAGAAGAGCCTCCGATTTCCTTGCAGTCCAGTTTCCAGTCAGCTCTGCTGAAACTGATTTCAAACACTGTCCTTTCTTATAACGGAACTACTTCGCTTGACTATGCCTTCCAGGAGGTCGGCACATACACACACGCCACCATGACACTTCCATAAAGTGACACATCAGCTGTTTGCTGCTCCCACTTCTGTTACCTGTACTGCTTGTGACAGTGAGTAAGCGCTCAGCTCAGTGACGCGACCAGCAAGAGTAACTTGAGCCTTCAGTGTCTTCAATTGGAAAAAATAATAAAATCAAATATCAGGAGTTAATGCAAATGACACAAGTCTAAATGTTGCCAGGCAAATACCCTTGTAGTTAGTGTTCNAGTAAAGGAAATATTACAGTTTTAGAAGAGAGTAGGTTATTTCATTTTATGGGGTTTTTGTGTGCATGTGTGTCAATGTATAAAGATATATAAAATCAGATATTTCAGGGGTTTTTTTCAAAAATCATGCACAACCAAATAATTAGTTCCATCGTTTAATTGGCTATACCGATTCCAGATTGTAAGGTTTATATGAAGCGTTGTTAATCTTGATTTTACAGAATTTCTTCATTCTGTAATGCTATTCCTGAGCATAAAACTACACAAACGACTTGTCTTTTAGAAGGCAACAACTTTGTGTGCTGTGGCAAACGAAACCTCATAAAAATGTAAATCACTCCAGGTCTTTCTAAATTTTGTGACATGTTACATCACACTCTAAAGAAACACTCTTAAACACAGGTATTATATATGAATAGAAAGAATTCATCAATTCCCTATTAGGATAGTAAAACCACTTAAAGATGTGAAAAGCTTCCATTTAAGAGGGTTTATTATTTCTATATCACTTTGAGAAAGATTTCATTTCAGTGCTAGAGGACACTTGAATCTATATCCAGCATAATACTTATCCAACTCAGTTAATCACTAATGCTTTATAACCACTCTGAGAATTGGATTCCCTGGATGAAATGGATGCTTCCTTTAAAATAATCAGGGGAAAACCCTGGGGGGAAAAATCATTATGGAGACCTAAATTTGTTCAAAATTCTCTATGCTTAGATTGTAAAAGTACACACAAGTTTTACTAAGAGGATATTGAAAAGTAAAAAAAGGTAGGCAAGTTAATGTATGATGTTAACATAAGATGAACTAAAAATATTTAATGAAAAAAAAANATCTCACTGGGTTGTCAGAGGACTAAAAGAGTAAACGCTGATAAGTGCTTGGCTCATTCTGTGCATTGTGAGTGTTATTATTATTATTAGATGTTAGGGGTTGAATTATGTCCCTCAACGAGGCATGTGTTGAAGTCCTAACCCCCGGCCACTCAGAATGTGATCTTATTTGGAAATAGGGTTGTTGCCGATGCAATTAGTTAAGATACAATCATACTGGAGCAGGAAAAGAGGGGAAATTTTGGGCACAGAGACAGACATGCACTCGGGGTGCCATCCTGTGAAGATGAGGTAGAGATCGGGGTGATGCTGGTACAAGTCAAGGAATGGCAAAGAGTGCCCACAAACCCCCAAAGCCAGGCAAGAGTTGTGGGGCAGATTCTCTCTCCCAACCATCAGGAGGCGTCGACTCCGCTGACCCCTCAGTCTGGCTCTCTACCCTTCAGAACCGGGAGACTGCACTTCTGTTCTTTAAGCCACCAGCTTGGGACATTTTGTTACAGCAGCCCTGGCAAACAGATACATTAGGTAAGACACTCCTATCTAGAAATATAACCAAGAAGTCTAAAAATAAACCTCCTTTTTCTTTTAAAAGGCATCGACTTTCCTTGAAACACAGTGCAGTTTGACAGAGCGGCCTACCTAAGTACTGACCAGGGCTTGGGGGAACACTGGCCTTGTCGCATGGACAGCACATGTGGAGCGAGTGAGGGGACACTGGCCACCAACCAGGTCTCTGTACGTGCACAGCAGGCTTTGTGCACGCACTCTGACGGACAGGTAAGTTCATCATGACATCGACATGAGTGCTTCTAACGCAAGAAAAAGCCTGTGCCAACGCATCAACATCTAACACCAAGGTCAACTACAACTCAGGGGTGCCTTTAGGTTATCCCAATAAATGTGCCTTTCCTCACTGAAAACAGAAGTGGAGGGATTACCACAGCACTCGATCAAACGTTTTCATCTAAATTCATTTGACACCAGGTGAAATGCCTTGGTGCTTAATATACTTGTTCCATTTTGTCCTCTTGCTGCTTATAGAACTTCTGTCCCTTTTTAGCCCTGTATCTGTTCTCTCTCCAGGATTTAACCCTGAATTTCACCATTCATCTCTGAAAGGACAATGTTACCCTCACTTTCCCTAGCTGTTTGTCAGATTTTTAAAAACAGGAAACACACTTTACTCTTTTTAAAAAAATATAGACTCTACCTAGTCATCAACTCATAGAAGTCATTCAAGAATCATTTGTTCTGAAATGTTCAGAACAGACAAATCTATAGAGACAGAAAGTAGACTGGTGATTGCCAGGGGCTGGAGGGAGACTGAAAAANTTGCAGATTTTAAGCAAAGCCCAAAACAATTAAGTACAACTCTGGAATTCGAAGCCTGGCCTGTCCGAATCCAAACAATGGTCATTCCTCTGGCCACCATGACGTCTCAGAATGTCCCCATATCTGCTGGACAGCCACTGCCTCTCTGTCCAAAAGAAAGGAGGGGACACAAAAGAGAACTTTTCTTAGGAAACCTGGGTGGGCGAGGGGACAAAGGTATCGAGAATAATTCTGATAAGGACACCTGTACAGCCACAGAAGAGTGTGACATTTGTGAGATACTAAGGAAAAACTACAGGCAAAAATTGGGGTTATTTCACACCTTTACCCCCAACCATAATTACTCCAATTACTATCTCCATAAATCTCATGAATCTGAGACGCAAAGGAACCCTCTTGATGACAATCACCACCAGCCGATTTAAAGCTAACCCAAGACAGTAACAGCATCTTCACGCACGTGGTCGATTTTATTTTCCTAAGTAATGAAAATGGGTGAAATGGATAGACATACAGTGTCCCTTGCCTAGAACTTTTCATTTCACCAGACTGAAAAGGTTGTCTTAGGTTACTGTGTTTCAAGTCCTACTCAGAGAAAAGAACAATGAGTCAGATGCCGTTTCATGGAAATGGTTTTTTTTTGCAAGCAACCTTCACGGCAGTTCACTGTTAAGCCCAGTAGTGATGCAAACCGTCCATCTAAAACTGACAAGAGCCAGGTAAATTTTTAGAAAACAAAAGATATTTGACCTCATTTAGGACGCCCGATATTTTTCCATGTTCTAGGTTATTTTTTAACCTCGTGAACTAATCTTCCCTCATCATGTTAGGTACCTGATAATGCTGACGACTGTTCCTTCAATACCAATTATTGGGCTAATTCTACCAAATATAACCAATGGACGTGCTCGCTTGTATCTAGAGCTGTCTTTCATTATATGTGGTTATTGAAAACAGGAAACTTAAGAATGCATCATGCACTGAATGGCAATGAACATACTGAGCATTTTAAAGGAGGGAAAATGAGATCATTTATATGTAAGCAGATTTGGTCCCTTGCCAGCTGACCTCGGAAGCCCACTGATATGAACGGAAGTGAAGTCTCACAGCCAGTATCTTTCACAGATATTTTCTAAACGGTGCACGCTTTTTTAAACATTGTGTATAAGTCAAATGTAACTTGTCATATTCTTCACAGTAATAAAATTAACATCCTCAACATGTAAAAAAATATATAGCAAATAACAGACTAAGAAAATATACATAATCGATGTGCAGTTACTAAGTTTATAATATGGATGCCTGCATGGGTTTGGTAGGTAAACTCTAAGATTCTGGTACATAAATAGGCAAATGCTGCTGGTGGAAAGCACAGAAAGTATACTCCTTTGAAAAGTGATTTGGCGATTTGTAGCAAGAATCTTGAAAATGTGCTTCTTTTGACCCACTTTGATTCTACGTCTGCTAATCTCCTAAGGATACCCTAAGCGGGCGGGCATGGCAAGCTGTAATCACAGCCAGGCTACATTTGTTTTTAATGGTGAAAAGTGAGATATAATGAAAATGCTGAAGGAGAATAATGCTGCAAACCATGGAATACCCCCTTGTGGAAAACTCTACAGTCACCATAAATGATAGTGAATATCAGGGATTATAAATCATAACTACAAATTATGACACCATAAGTGGTTATTAAGACAACTGTGAAGACTTATAAAAAGTTCACTAAAGGATATATATATATCCTTTATATACATATAAACACACACGCATATATATATATATATATATATATATATATATATATAAACACACACGCATATAAAGTATATATATATCCTTTATATATACACACACGCATAAAGTATGCACAAACACAAACACACATGCAGAGCAGGATTGCTTCTTGGTTAAAAGCACACAACACGCTCAGAGCAAAAAAACTAAAAAGAAATAAATCATATTGATAGTGGTAATTTGGGACTAGGGAGATTATAGGAATCGAATGCTGTATCTTCTGAAAATTTATTTAAATCATATTTTCAAGTTTATACTACTTTCATGATTTTCTAATTCTAAGCATTTAGAAAGTACAAATATAATGTAAAATACCACAGGAAAATAAACTTCTACCCAAAGCCACACACAAATGGAGTGTGATTACATTTTGGTGTTATTTTCAAGACAGGATATTTTTACTTAGTTCAGCACAACCTTGAGAATATTTTAGTGCAATGAGCACCTTTTGTTTCTTTTCAAAGCCTTACTTTGGAGGAAGTGTTAGAGTGGGCCCAGTCTTTTGAAAAGCTGATGGCTACAAAATGTGAGTATTTTATATATATACATATATATATATATATGTCATCTTTGAACAACTATTCAGTTCCATTCTTGGAGGCAAAAGGGACTCTCAGTGAGGACTGCATAGCCCCCTTCTCACAGCCGTCTAAATGGCAACTGCCACAGTTCAAAAAAGAAAACCTGAAAACAGTTTGTCGTGTCAACCACCATTATTTTCTTGGATGGTAATTAAAACAAGATTAGTCACTGCGAATATTTATTCTTCTCAAGTCTATATGTAAAATCCCTTGGAAAATATGCTTAAGTAGTGACACGTACTGAAATTTACCGCCTTACCACCTCCTTCTAAAGTTAGAATTCTTTTTACGTGTTAACACTTCGCTTTTCTTCGTGCCTTCAAAGAATACATTTGAGTCTTGATGTTCTAAAACTCCTCAAAGCGCTTTTCTAACTTGACCACAGTTTCATTTCAGTGGGCCTTTATACAGTTACATATAAGAATCAATAGTCAGATGTATACATCAAAAGAACAGTAATGGACTGAGGGCAACCAAGTCAGGTTCAGTGCAAAAAAATATGAACATGTGCGTTCATGCGAGTAAGCAACTGTGTTTGGGGTAGGAGCCTGGGAGGGTGTAGAAAATGATAAATACCAGAAGACAGGTACAGAAGAAGAATGTAGTGGGGACTCAACAAAAATTCTCCTGTTTGCTGATGTTGGTACCTTTTTGTTGTTGTTGTTTTTAATAGAATTTGTTCCCCTTAAACATTGCTTAATGCTTTTTTCCAAATGTTTGCTAATGTTTGCCCACCGAGTTCTTTTTACCTGAGACTCCCTGTCATCCTCTCAGTGGAGGTTTCTTCTGTTTCTACCTGTGGACTGTGGAAGGGGGGTGAGGTGCCTCTTGGTGGTTTAATTAGTGGGATGTCCGGGCGGTTATTCTGGATAAGGTTCTTCCTGGTCCCCCTGGGGACTACCATGCTCCTGGGGCACTAAGTTCTCCCCTTGACTCCAGGGCCCCTCCAGGTCTGGAGTCAGCTCCCACCACCAGGCCCTGAGGGCGGCAGATGTGGCTGCTTCTAAGGAAACACCTTCATCAGCCATTCATGCAGTAACTTCCTGGCCCCTCCCTAGTGCTGACGCCCACACCGCCAGGCTTGGGTCACCACCTGGGTGCTCACCCGTTCCTAGCAGGCCTTTCCGATGAGTATTTGAAACCAGTTTCCTTCTTGGCCACAATCACCCCTGCCTTTCACTTTTCATATTATATTTTGTGATCTCGTGGCCAGCATGGTTGTGAATGTTTAGAAAATATATTTTTTGGTCAATTTTAGGGCATTGTAATGAGAGGAAGAGACAAAAATATGTGTTCAGTCAGCTGTAGTGACTGACTGATCCTCTGCTAACAATTTAGATTCATGGACCAACCCCGGCCCCGTAATCCACGCTTTGCAACGTTGCCAGACTGATCTCTGTCTTGGAGTTTTATATTCTATATCCGTAGAATGAAAATACTATCACCTATCTTTTCAGCAATATCATGCAGGTTAAATATAAAACCCCTAACTCAATGCATGATACAAATCAGGCACACAATCACTGGTAGTTATTTTTATGAGTAATAAAGGTCATTTCTGTGAATAGCATTCATTTCTTTTTCTCTGCAGCTTACCAGCAAGCCCCAAACCTCCATCTTGGTATTTAGGGCTCTATCCCCTAACCCGATACATTTCCTAAAGCTTCCCTCCAGCTCTGCCCCTTCCTATGACATGGTCGCCCTTCTGCCAATGTCACTAGTGCTCTATGTTCTGCATCCCGGACAATCCTCTCCAGGTTTTTGGGCAAAGTCCTCTCTGTGTCTCCTCTACCTACTCTGCCCATCCTTGAAAGTCAAATCCAACTTCCACCTTTTCCATGAAACCTCTTGGAAATATTTTTCCTCACTCTCCTATTTTGTGAGTATAATTATTTAGTCTGCTTCTAATTACGGCTATTTTGTGTATTGGGTTTTTCTCCACAGCTGCTTTCTGACTAGATTATGAATTCCCTAAGGGCACAGATCACCTCTCATTCACCTTTTACCCCTCCATCCTGGAGACCAAAAGCATGCTTTATACCTAACAAGCATTCAATAAATGTTCAGTAAATAAATACAAGACGAGTATTAATAAGAAAAGATCAAAGCACTGAGCCATATTATGTCAGAGTTTCTGTGCCTTTCCTGGAGGTCTCATAAACAAACTGCATAAAGTTAATTACTTGGTAATAATCTCAAGAGGGAGCCCAGCTAGAATTAGTGATTTAGACACTCAGTGTCATGAGAATAAGCAAATTCTACAGAAAAGATGAGCACAGAGCCCTTATTAAAAACCAGCAAAAACAGGGTAAGCATCCTACCAGTACTAAAAAGGTGAAAAAACCAAATCATTCTGTGGACCATCCAATCAGAATAAAACTAAGAATACAAACGTTACATGTGCCAGAGAATGAAGTGTGTTTATAGAAACCAAGGACACTAGAAAAATGCACCCTTTAGCTCAGCTATGCAGATGCCTCTGTCTACACAGATTAAGAGTCTTTTTCTAAGAACATGTGGTTCAGAAACACACATGGGAATGAATCATAAGAAGTTTGGTCTCAACAGATCAACAGGGGTTGGGTTAGGAGCCATTAAGTAACTGTCACCACAATACAGTGAAATTCAACTTCCTCCTTGGAAAGGGAGATCCAAGAAAATATTAACTGAAGAACAGAACCATGGCTAAATTAAGAAGGTAGTTAGAAATTGCGAATGCTAATAACCTAGGTGCATTCTCAATGTTATGTAATTATACATTATTGACAAATGAGCTATTTTTTTTTTAACTGAGCCATCCTGCCACCTGTTGGCAGCTCAGCTCAACTCAGGCCGGGACTTGAACCGCTGTTGCTCAGAGCTCACACTCTTGAATGAGCTCTTAACCAACTGAACCACTCGGCCGGCCCACGAGCTAATTTCTTAAAAAGAGTCTATACCCTTGATTATATATATAGATATAGATATAGATATAGATATAGATATAGATATAGATATAGATATAGATCCAATAATTAATAATTATTAAACACTTCTTAGGTACCAGACAATGTGCTTGAGACAGGATAAAAAGGAATCTCATGTATCCATGCAGCACATAAAATAACAAAACAAAAAAAAATATTTTTCAAAAACTGAAAATCACCCAGGAGAGAACAGGGAAGAATAGGAGAGCCTGTCATTTATGGTACTTTGGGGCAAAGTAGAAATGGTGACTGAAGCAACTTCTAGAAACACCAAAGGTGAGACAAAGACATGCTTTTTTAAAATAATATCCTTTGACAAAAATTTTCACCAAAGGCTGCAAAGGGGCTGATTGGCAGCATGGTTTGTTTGTTTGTTTTGCTTCCACAGTAAAGATGGTTTTATAAAGCTACACCTTTCCCTTGAAGAGTCTATTGTTACATTGCACAAGCAGAAGGTAGCTCTAGAAATAAAAAGAAAAACATATACAGCAATTTTTTGGACAGTGATTTGGGAGGCCCTGTGAGGATGCCTTATAGATCAGCATTTTGAATATTATCCCTAAAGTGTGACTTGTGACTGTAATAAATCTGTGTTTATGAAGTGCCGGGTACAAAAGGCTGAGAATCAGCGGGATATCGAGATTGCCCAAAAAACTGTTAAGAAAAAAAACAAAAAACCGCTTTCAGTTTTAGCTGATACAGTGTGCAACATGCTCTTTGAGCAGAGAAACATTCATTGAGTTCTTACTGAATACGATGTAGGGAAATTGATCCTGTGGGGGAGTGGGAGTGTGTTCGAAAGATGGTACAAATGCTTTTCTGAGGCATTCATTATTAAGGACAGATAAAATATATGTGCACCCCGAGTGGCTTGAAAATAACCATGAAGCAAGGAGACCAGAAACAGCAAAGCACGAAGTGCTGAGGGGTAAAGAGAGATGGGGGCCTGATGGCAGGTCTCCTGGAGAAAGAGTCTCCCAAAAGGCAAATTTGGGAGTGGGACTTAAATAATTCAGATTGTTGTAAAATGACAAGGAGGTCTGACTGGCAGTATTTTAAAAATAGGAAACAGAAGAAGTAAGCTCGGTAAAGATAAATGAGTGCTCCTTTCAGTGAAGAAATGTAGAATAAAGGATTCCTTGGGACTGGGTGTGAAAACTGGTCTCATTAAAAAATATCCACAGTGACTTAAACAGAAAGTACCCTGCAAAATTTCCAAATCTACAGATGACAGAAAGCCCTCTAAGGTTTAAAACATTCACGGTTTTACGAAAGAATTAAATTGTTTTCAAATGGACATAAAAGGAGTAATAAGTTTTTAAATGAATCAGGAAAAAAATGTCTGAGCTATTAGTCATCTCTTCATAAAAATACGTGAGAATTACTAAAAGTTTTTCCTGGAATGATGGTGACTCAAAATACAGCATAACACCCCAAAATATCATCAAAGTATTAGGTATCCACCAAGATGAAAAATGCGGGAAGAAAAATCCTGTATTTCTGATGGCGAAACCTAGTCGAACTCTACTTTTGATGACTAAAATCTACTAAAACTAAAAAAGATACAGAAACATGTATTTGAAATGACAAGGGGACCAACAATCACCTAAACCCTGGGGGTTCTTCATACTGGAAAATTCAAAACTAAAAAAATAATCAAATTCAAAAATTTGATTAATCAAAATTTTCTTTATTTCGATTAATCAAAATCCAAAATACCAAAAAAAAAAAATCACAGACAGCTCATACATACATGTATTGGCCAAATCTCAAAAGATGAGAATAGAGGTTGCCCACTGACATTTGAGTAAAGAATATTTACTATAAACAGAAAACATTTAGTAAAGCTGCCACCCCTTCAATGACTCATTTGGTCCTGCCCTGTGTGTCTGGCTCACCTGAGCCCGGGGACGTTGGGGTGAAAGAGGCTGTCAGGTCACTGAGCTCAGCTCATGTGCTCCCTCTAGAGGGAGAGACAG